CATTTATGACTATTTTTCTTAACTTCAGACATTTCTTCAATATGTTCAAGGACTTTTCAAATATTAGCAATCGAATTAGGATTAACTCCTATTGGATCAAGAACAAATACTTGTGGTGTATAAACCTCATGATCCGAACGTTGCTTACTTGAGTTTTTAAAAGTATAAGAATTAATAGCTAGAGACTTTTCATTAATGTTTACAATATTAGATGATTTATCAGATTGCTGATTTATTTTAGTAATCGTTAGTAATCTATTATAGCATATAGGACAAACCCACTTCTTGTTATTGATATTAGAGATATTACAAACTGAATATTTTTTAATACAATCTGCTTAACTTTGATTACGTATCAAGTTATTAATTACATTCGTTCTTGATTTTTTTCAACACAAAGTTCTTCTAAAATAATTGAGAGATAATTAGTAAGTTCTTTATGAATTTCATTTTCTATACCTGATATTAAATAAAATAATTCTTCAAATTGCTTTTGGTTAAGTTCGGAATATAACCAAGGATCTGTAATCAGAATATAGTTATTTGAAAAATTAAAAGTAACAAAACTTGTAACAGTATGAAATATAACTGTATTATACTCATGATCCAAATAATTTTTTTGCCTTTTTGTTCATTGTCAAAAGCCAAAAATAGAAAACCTTCAGGAAGTGGTGGCTGCTTTATAGCTAAATTTTCTAACCATTTAGTAAATTTTAAATAGCTGCCTAAAAAATAAAATGCCTTAAGTATTTATAAAATTAAAAAAAAAAAATTGTTTGATAACAAGAAAAAATATATACCAGAACTAATAATATGATTGTCGATATCCACAATCATTCTCAACCTTGCCAATGAATACTTAATAGCTGAAGCAGCCAAATTGATTGCAGAAACATATTTTAAGTGCCTTGATCCATATATAGTATCAACAGCTATGGTACTTTTAAAAGGCTTCTCTCCAGATTATTGTTTATTTTCATTACGAATAAAAACTTTACAACAACTAAATTTCATTCAGCAAGCTATTCATAAGGAGAATATCGCAAGAGGCTATCCAAAGAAAATTGCTCTTGATTTTTCATCAAACCTATTATATCTTCATACAAATTATTTCACTATTTTTTAACAATTTCTATAATAGACTGAATACGATTTTGTTGGTTAGTAAATCTTTTGTATAACCTTTTTTTTAACTCTTTATTTTGGCTAATAATTGCTTATTAGCACTTTTAAGCTTACTAATCTGCTCTAAAAGACTTTCATATATTGGATCTGGTAAAGATACTTGAACTCCAAAATCGACAGGAGTTGGATTAACTTGAGCACCAAAATTAATGAAAGTTAAATTAACTTGAGCACCAAAATTAATGGAAGTTGAATTAACTTGAGCACTAAAATCTGCAAAACTTTTTTTATTAGAAAGCTTTACTCTTTTTCTTTCACTCTCATCTAAATTTGATTTGTCTATAAATTGTTTAATAAAAGAAGGTTTAGCAACAATCTGATTGTAATGCCATTCACATAAAGAGTAACTTTTTAAAGATTCAAGAAATGAAGTTAATTCAGTAAAATACTTAGCCAATTCTGTTAGCTTTTTCGTTACTGTATTAGCCGATGCATTTTGCCACTGTTGCTCTTTATCAGGTTTACACTTATTTATATACTATAGTAAATCACTCGCCAAGTGCTTGTTAGCAAAAAAAGCAAAGAGACAGAGCAACATTTTGGCTTTTACTTTTGAACTCATTGGTGAATAATATATAAAATATGTGTAATTTAAGCTTTAATTTAAGAAAAACTAATTTGACGATATTAGAAAATTCGAAGGAGTGATGTCAAGGTATTCCAATCGTATAACAATAGGAATTTTTGTAACATTTAATATAGATGGATATAGCAGAAATGCAATTAATAAAGCAGAAACATCAGAACTTAATATCTTATTAACAAATGTTTCTAGCATGAAACTAGACATTATTAATTATGTTGTTAAAAAATTAGGTAATGCTTTTGATGATTCTGAAGAACGTATAATCGATGAAATAATTTGTAAAATCGAAAAAAAATTTGATACATTAAATGAGAAGGTCAATATTATAAATGAAACCCAAAAAAAATTGCCTAGAAAAATGGAAATATATCAATCCAGAGTGATGGCCAATAACAATAATAATCAAAGCAAAATTTTAACTTTATTAATTGTAATAATTATATTACTATTAATAAATTT